ATAGGACCCCCGAGAAGGGCCAGGCCAGGCCCCACTGTGGTTGGAGCAGAACTGAGGCCACCTGACTACCATCCAGAGCCCCCACCCTGGGACTTCTTGGGGGGCTGGGCACCCACCACAAGGTGCTGAGGCTGCTTTGGCTCTCCAGGTGCCCTTGGGCCCTGAGTGCTCGCGGGCCGTCATGAAGCTACTGTACTGCGCACACTGTCTGGGGGTCCCCGGCGCCCGGCCCTGCCCCGACTACTGCCGCAACGTACTCAAGGGCTGCCTGGCCAACCAGGCCGACCTGGACGCCGAGTGGAGGAACCTTCTGGGTGAGCCCTCACTGCCACCACCTGCCAACGCGGCCAGGGCCCTGGGAGGCAGGTGGTCCTCAGGGTCAAGGGACAAGGATTCCTTCTGAATGCCTGGGTGGAGTGTGACACAGGCAGTTGCGTGGGAGGGAGCCCTGTGGAGTCATAGTTCCTGCGGTTCCCCACTGGGCAAGTGCCCCAACATGCACATATGCCAGCATGTATTGACACAGTGGGCTAACACATGCATGAGCTAACATGTATGTTGCTGATATGTGGGTCAGCTGGCATGCACATGTGCTGACATGTAGTGGGACAATAGGTACATGCTAACGTGCACATGTGCTAGCATGGTGTGGGTCAACAAGGGCACATGCCGACACACATGCACTGATATATACTCATATGGAGCCAGCATGCATCCATATAAATATGTGTGAGCTGACATGTACCTGAACTGAAGTGTGGTAGGCCAGTGCGGTATGTGCATGTCAACATGTATGAGCTTGCACGCATTGACATAAGGTGGGCCAGCATGCAGACATACAAACTGCCTGTGTGTGCCCACGCCTGTGCCAGACTCCATGGTGCTCATCACCGACAAGTTCTGGGGCCCCGCGGGCGCAGAGAACGTCATCGGCAGCGTGCATTTGTGGCTGGCGGAGGCCATCAACGCCCTCCAGGACAACAGAGACACGCTCACAGCCAAGGTGCGGGCAGGAGGGTGTGGTCAGCATGGGAGGGGCGGCCAGACATGGCCTCGTGCCCCTCCAGGACCCCTGTGGTCTCCCCCCAGGTCATCCAGGGCTGCGGGAACCCCAAGGTGAACCCTCACAGCCCCGGGTCTGAGGAGAAGCGGCCACGGGGCAAGCTGGCACTGCAGGAGAAGCCACCTGCAGGCGTGTTGGAGAAGCTGGTGAGTGGCCCCTCAGCCGGCCAGGCCCTGGGGGATGGGGGAGGGGAGGGCAGGCTGGGCCAGGGCCCCAGTGGCCTGACTGTTGCCCTGCAGGTCTCTGAGGCCAAAGCCCAGCTCCGCGACGCCCAGGACTTCTGGATCAGCCTCCCAGGGACACTGTGCAGTGAGAAGATGGCCATGAGTGCCTCCAGTGACGACCGCTGCTGGAACGGGATGGCCAAGGGCCGGTAGGTGCCACCTGGCTGACCACAGGTCGTCCCTCCCGTGAGTTCTCAGTGGGCCCGTTGTCTGGCCTGAGGCACCAGGTGCTGTGTGGTGCACAGGGCTATGCCTCACCTGGGACACACAGCAGACACAGAAAGCTGGGACGAGGGCCAAATCCTTGTCCTAAGCCAACTCCTCGCCCCACACACCATGCAGTGTGTCCACACCCCACTGCTGTGGGGCCTTCATGGGCTCCTGTTGGTGCCTGAAGGCCACTGGGAGGGGGTCTCAGATGTGCCACCACCTGGGCGGGAGGAGGGGAGTGCTTGGGTAGTGCCGCTTTGCAGGGACTCGGGCAGTCACCCAGGGCTGCCCTCCTGGCCCCAGGTACCTCCCGGAGGTGATGGGTGACGGCCTGGCCAACCAGATCAACAACCCCGAGGTGGAGGTGGACATCACCAAGCCCGACATGACCATCCGCCAGCAGATCATGCAGCTGAAGATCATGACCAACCGGCTGCGCAGTGCCTACAATGGCGAGGACGCAGACTTCCAGGACGCCAGTGAGGGCCAGGCACCAGGCTGGGGGTGGGGACTATGCCGGGGGCTGAGGGCCATGGGGGTGCCATGAAGCCCCACCCCACTGCAGAAGGGTGCAGGGGAGGGGCCCTCCCAGTCCCTGAGCCTCCAGTGGCTCTGAGGGCACTGCTGCTGCCCAACCCCTTACATGTCCCCAGGCATAGTTGAGACCTGGCCAGGATGTCCATCCAGCCTTGGCAAACCAAGGCAGTGCAAGCTGCCCTGGGCAGGATGCCGCCTAGCATGGGAGGCCCACACGCAGGAACACTGCACCTGTGGTCCCCAGGGTGAGGTTGGCCTGCCCGAACCTCCTTTCCTCCCCAGGTGACGACGGCAGCAGCAGCTCAGGTAGTGGGGACGGCTGCCCCGAAGACATCTGCGGCCGGAGGGTCAACAAGAAGAGCTCCAGCTCACGGACAACCCTGACCCACGCCCTCCCCGGCCTGTCGGAGCGGGAGGGCCCGAAGACCTCAGCCACAGGCTGCCCCCAGCCCTGCATGGCCCTCCTGGTCCTCCTCCTCATCCTGCTTCTCTCAGTGGCCAGGCCCCGGTGGCGGTAACTGCTCCCAGCCCCAGGGACTGAGGCCAAGGACTGACTTTGCCAAAACACGAACAGACAATATTTAATTCCCCTCGTCGTAGAGGCCCAGGGCAGGACAGAGAGGGACAGCGAGGGACTGCTGTCTTGACGCACTGGGGGCAGGGTGAGTGGCGCTGGCCCCACAGGCCTGGCTTTGCCATCACCCTGGCTCTTAATTTTGTGTGAGGCCCTCAGGTCAGCTGGGAACAATGTCCCCAAAAGCCATGTATTTCAGGGACCTTCCATGGGCCCAGGATCTGAGCTTGCCCCTGCTCACCCAGACCTGGGGGCCCTCCCTCCTGGGCCCCAGTCTGCCCACAAGCCTCTCCCCAGCTCCCTGCACCATCACCGACCAGTGCCAGGGCCTGTGGGGAGGCACCCTGAGCCTGTGCCTTCCTCTTCTGCCTCCTTCCATGACAACTAGGGGCTCCAGATGTCAGAAAGTGGGACCCACCCCTCAGTGCCCCAAGAATCCCCAAGAGGGCATCAGGGCTTCCACCACCTGAGACCTTGAGGGCCTTTGAGATTATGCACGAACCCCTCATATGCAGCCAGGCCTCCACCCTGTGATGCCATAGGCCCCCCAGAACCCTGAGTCAGGTGAGAGCCTGTCTGGCGAGGTACTGCCGGTCCCTGCAGACCTCCTTGCCGAAGACCAGCTTCAGGGGCCTCAGATGTGCCATGAGCAGCAGCCTGCACAGCCATGCATCCTGGGCTCTGCTCTCAGTTGTCTGTGGGTGGGCTTGATGCTCCTGGCCATCCCAGAAGAGCAAGCTGGGGCCCTCCGCAAAGGTGAGCCTCCCCTTCACACATGGGCTGGGTCCACGGCCTGCATAAGGACTTTAAGATGTGGGAGGAGTAACCTGGCCACTATCCTCCCTCCTCCCTCCTGTCCCCACCCAGGGCCAGGGCCAGGGCCAGGGGCCAGCTCAGGGTAACATAGGCCAGGGATGGAGGCAACCCATGGCCATCACCTGGCCACAGGGATGCTGAGTGGCAGGTGAGACTTCAGCTCAGGGCCAGTGAGCCCTGGCACTGTAGGTCAGAGGGACGCCTGGGTCCCTCCTTCGACCCTGCCAGCTGCAGGGAGCCTGGGGGAGCTTTGACAGTTAAGGGCTTTTCCAGATGTGCAGATACGTACAGATGCTTCTCATCCATGTTCACTGGGAGCTTTCTCAGCTCCTCCCAAATAGCTTTTGAAGTATGACCTCCTGAGGGCCCAGGATCTGGGCGTACACCCTGTTCATGCAGGCCTGGGGGCCCTCCTTCCTCGGCCCCCGCTGCTGCCAGCCCTGGGGAGGGGGCTGGCACCCTGCCAGAGAGGGGCTCAGGCAAGGAGAAGGTGGGCCTGGAGGGTCTGGGGGAGGCGGAGCCAGCATGGGCAGGGACAGCCACCCTAGCCAGTGCCAGCGTCCCGAGCAGGCTGCTTAGCACCGCTTTGCTTTCCCTTGAGGCCTTGGGGAGGCCCCTGGCTGCTGGTCAGGGCCCCTGGCACCGTTCTCGGTGTGTTGGGTCCAGGCCTCCAGCCGAGCTCCACCAGGTAGCCCAGTCCCACAGGCACGTTCACCCCATGCTAACCCTGAAGTGTTGGGGTGGGGACTGGGCCCAGGGCTTCCTTCCCTGTGGGCGAGGGCCAGCCGGACTCAGGATTTGGACAGTGACTGTGGTGTGCCAGGATGGTACCCTTGTGCTGCATGGGATGGCCCAATAGGGCCTGTGCTGTCCTCACCTCACATGGGTCTCTGGAAGAGCTGGCCAGGCAGTCGCCAGGCCTGCTGTGTCCTGCCGTGTGGTGTCAGCTGGTGACATATGTTCCTGTGTCCTTGTATGAATAAAAGGCTGGAGACCTTGTGTGGCTGCTGTGATCCCTCCCTGCACAGCCCAGCAGCAAGCGTGTCCCCACGGGCTGTGCACAGCATGGTGGGCCTCAGGGCCTGTTGGGAGGGGAAGCGATTGCACCCGGCACTGTGGCCTGGAGGCTGCAGAGTGCAGGGTCTGCGTGTCCTCATCCCACTCCAGGAGGACTTGGTGCCCTGGAGAAGGAAAAGGCCCAGGCCCCTCTGCCATCCACACCTCCGCCGCTCTGGACACACACACCCTCGCACGTGCCCGGGAAATTCCAGCTCCCGCCAAGGATCCTTGGAGATGCGCAGGAAGCTGGAGGGAGGGGGACCAGTGTGGTCCTGAGGCCAGGGCTGGTGGCATGTCCTGAAGGTGCCATCCGGCTCTAGAGTCCCGCTGTGCCCTGCGTCTTTCACCAGAGTGGAACCACTGCCCCAGCCACCATGCCTCCGCAAGCCAAGGCCTGCATGGTCCTTGGGGCGAAGCTGCCAGCCCTGTCCTCTCCCCGTTCCCCCTGCCCAGGTGCCACTGTGGGCAAAGCCCAGCTCCTCATCTAGAGACTAGAAGCCAACACAGACACATGAGCTGCTGCTGAGTCCCTTTATTTGGGCATCACAGCCCACACCAGCAGCCTGGCAGACATTCAGCAAAGCCTCTCCCCAGAAGCCTGGAGTGCTGAGGGCTCAGTGCCGCCAGCCCAGACCCCCGGAGCGTGAGGGGCAGGGCCCCCCAACATGGTGGACAGCACGTCCCTGAGAGAAGAATGAGGCTCCACAGAGGGGCTCCCCTGACAGCCTGGGTGCAGTGGGGCTGGGGGTACCTGTAGAGCAGTGGCTGCCTGCTCCCCTGGCCTCCACGAGACCAGGGTGCCTGATGCCCTGCTCCTCCCCCTTCCTGGGCGCTGGGGCCCACTCAGCCTTGGGGCAGGTGGGCAGCCATGGCTCATTCATGACTGTAGCTGGTGTACACTTTGTTCAACTGGAGCAGCAACCCCAAGGGCTCTGGGTACTTGTTCACGGACTTCTTGAACTTCTTCCTGATCTCCGACAAGTACTTTCTTCCTGTCGAAAGGGAGGGCACATGTGAGATGGGCATTCAGCACAGGACCACCCGCTGGGCTGCGTCGGGGTCTTCGTCCTGCCCACCATGGGCCAGGCCCAGACCACCCCCGGGCTCCCAAGCCCGGCCCACCATCCATCCCATTGTTCCTCGAAGGAATCTGGAAGTCCACAGACATCCTGACGACCCACACTGATGGGCAGGCAGCAGACAGCCACAGTCAGCAAGTGTGCACTCAACACACCTGTGTGCACACACACGTGCAAACACACAGGAACGCATGCTCTGCTCCCCTTCAGGTGACAACATTTCTCTTCCTGGAGATAACCTCTGTCCAGAAATGACGTTTACAGTCAAAGCACTAGCACTGGTCCAGGATGGAGAGCTGATTCCCCCAACCCTCCTTCCCTAGTGAGTAATAGGAGGGCGAGGACGGGGTCTGTCCCTGCTGGAAACCAAAGACAGATGGCAAGTTGCATGTCAAGGCTGCCAGAGATGGGGACAGGGTCTAGGGAGGCGACGGACACTGGCGGGTGGGGTCCCAGGAGACCAGCTGGCCCTCCAGCCCTCCCCAACTCTGCACACATGAGGCCTTGCCCAGACAGGACCCCACACCAAAGTGAGACCTCGGAGAATCTAAACATTTCCACCTCCTTTGTGTGGCCTGAAACTATGAACTGGGACTTTGCTGGTTTCCAGCATAAACCCATTTCCATACCCGACCTGGGGAAGCAGAGAAACAAGCCAGCAAGGTCTTAAAATACGCAATGACCAGGAACCAGACCGGCGGTGAGAACAAGAAACCGGAGAAAACACGAGGGAAGTCTAGTTTGAGAGGTCACAGTCCCGGGGCCTGAGAGGAGGGCAGCTGAGTGTTGTGTGGTCTCAGGGAGGAAAATGGAGAGATGGAAACTGTCAGGTGAGAACGAGTCTATTTTTTAAACAAAAACAAAAAAAGAGATTGGACACGGCATCAAGTGCAGCCGAGGCTTAGACCCCCTGCAGAAGGTGGGTGCCCGGAGGTGGGCCGGCAGGAGCTGTAAGAACCTGGTGGTGGGACTAAGGCACCCCCATGGAGAGGAGAGCCTGAGCCTCACCCACAGGGTGGCAGCTGCACCCACCCCAGGCAACAGATGCTGTCTGACATTCTGGAAACTGCGGTGTCTCCAGGGCCAGAGGGGTGGGGAGAAGAGGCCCCTCACAGACAGGGCCCAGCCACTGGCGATCGCCCTGGAAAAGAAGAAAACGGGTCCCTGCCGCATGCTACAATCAAAACAACATGTTTTGAATGAAAGAAGGACTGAAACATGGAGATTCACGCTTCAAAACCTGGAGAAGACACAGAACACATGACAGGCGGAGGGGGAGCGACTTCCCCAGGACACAGAGCCATGGGCCGCAGGACACGGCGGGCCACCACAGCGCCTTGGCATTTAAGCCGGAGAAAGACCATGAACAAGAACACAAACCACACACGAAACTAAGCCAGGACCTTGGCCGTGGGGGTGGAGGGCAGCGCCTGGCTCACCGTCAGTCTACACCTACGGCCAGAGGAAGCGCAGCAGGGCGGAGGGAAGGCGGGCAGGTGCCTGGCTCCCTAGGCTCCCAGGGTGAGTAGGTGGGCCCTGCTCTGTGGAAGGAGCCCTCAGCTCCTGCCCTCTGGTTTCTCCATGCTTCCTGGGACCCCACTGGCCACTCTCACCGCCCGTCTCTCCAGAGAGCACAGCATGCTGGCTCCTGGGAGGAATTCTGATGCTGGCAGATTCCAGGCCATTGTTGACATCACCAACATTCCAGCCCGACACCAACACCCTCTCTGGTCCCCAGGCCTCCTCCCCAGCTGACCCTCTCCCTCTACTCCCACCTTCCTGGCCCTCTCCTTCCCTGACCTTACCTGGTCACCCCTCAGGCATGGGACTCAAGGAGTGGTGTCCTCCAGACTGGTCCCTCCATCTCCCACCCCACCCCACCCCACCCCACCTTCCGTCCGTCTAACCAGGACCCCGCAGCCCCGGCTTCCATGCTTGCTCTGAAATCGCCATCTGTCACCCTGCAACACCCCACATCTCCGTAGCCCTGCCTCCCATCCAGCCCACCTCACTGCTTGCCATGTGGGCCTCATGGGGCTGGGCCAGGTGGTACAGAGCCTGGCACCGAGTAGGGTCACGAGGTGCCCTCCCCAGACGCCACAGCAACTGCCAAGGATGTGGAGAGAAGTGGCCAGTTCCCATGCATTCCGAAGACAGAGGCAACCTAATTTCCTGAGGAGCAGGAAGCTCGGAGGAGAGAGGTGGTGAGGATGGCAGGGGTGGGTGGCCTGCCCAGGCAATCAGCCTTCCAAGGACACGAGGCTGCGGGCCAGATGGGTGAGGGTGCGCCACCCTGTCGACATCGCAGACAGATCAATGGGACAAAATGTAGCCCAAAAGGAAGTTAAAGATTTACGCCGGAATGACTGACTGACCGGAACGATCCGGGAGACAGAGTGCCTTGTGTCTTTGGAGAAGGGGGTGGCTGAGAGCATTCCCGAGAAGTCACAAGGCGGCCTGCAGCTGCCACTGTCACCTAACACCACACAGCACCAGCCAGTGTGCCGAGGAGGGATAAAGAAAGAGCCACGGACGCCGGAAAGGCACTGGCAGGGACACCGCGTCTGCCGAGCCTGGAGCCGACCTCCCAGCACGCAGGACAAGGATGCATCATGGCCATCAGATGTCACTCAGTGTGGGTAGGAGACACGTGACATGAGGTGAACCTGGGAACTCCTAGCTGGGTCTCCCCATCCATGGGTGCCCAGGACCCTCTCTGCACCGGCCGTGAGCACAGTCCTGCCCTGTGGGGCTGACCGACAGCACTCATCCCCCACAAACAGCAGTCTCGCCTGTAGGGTTGAGGACCTACAGGGGACCTGTCACACTGTCCTTTCCCTATTCTGGGTGCCCAGAGCATGCAGGCCAGAGGGGAGTGTGCCCAGAGGAGGGAGGATGTGGCGGCCTCCATCTGGGCGCAGGAGGAGGGAGCGCTCCAGGTTGATGGGGGCACAGCCAGGCACAAGGGGCATCAGTGACTAGTAGGGGAGGCCAGAGGGGAGCAGCAAGGACTTTGATGGACGTCCTGCACGTGGACACAGACGCACTGGAGCAGGGGCTAGGGCTGGCGGTGGCTGGAGGTTTTGGAAGCGGCCAGGTTGCGAAGAGCTGAGCAGATGTCCCGAAGGACTGGGTGTGAGGTGAGAAGGCACGAGCAGTGGCTGGCAATCCTAAGTGAGGTTAAACCATCAAACCCCAGCACAACACCCACCACTGCCCGGAGCATGTGTCCCCAACCAAACAAAAAAGTGACAAGGTCTAAAAGACATGGTTCATCTGAGTGAGGTGGGTGGCAGCAAGCACACTTCACAAGGGTGAGCCTGTGGAGACGGGTCCCAGGGATGCAGGTTAACCGCGGAGCCCGGCCTGCGGCAGGCACTGGAGCTCCTGCGCAGTGACAATCACCACCAGTCACTGGGAATGTGCTGGCTGTGGGGGGCGCTCACATCTCACACAAACATTACTTCTAGGCTGCTTGCAAAATTACAGGTAAAACAAGAATGCTGGAGGCTGTGCACACCCCCTGTGGTCTCGCCTGGGGTGGCTTCCTCAGTCCCCAGCAAACCAGACCCTGAAGCTCAGGACAGACGCAGCCTCCACAGAACAGAAAATCCCAGGCAGCACGTCAAATGGGGAGGGAGAAGGTGCCCCGATCCGAGGACACTGGGGTGGTGCTGTGCTCCAGGGAGCCCCTGCAAGCCAGGAAGAGCCACACCCCCAACTGACAGGAACGCGGGAAACAAATGCCACGTGGTGTGGAGAGGGCGAGGGCAGTAACACTTCCATGAATTCCTCAGGACACGGGGGAACGGGGGAATGTCATTCCTGAGGAGGGCGGGGCCGACAGGCTCTTTCCCTCCCAGAGAGCGCGGGAACCAGGGGGGACTCCTGAAATCTGAACACTTAACCTCTGTGAGTTCCACCAAAGGGAAACCGAGGCCAAGGCGTGTGCCGCATGTTGACAAATGAGCAAAATGACGTAAATGCCCATAAACAAGGCACTGGGCGGACCATGTGAGATGACACAGTGTGGGGAAGGCAGGTCAAGGTCACAAAATTGCCGTTGTTTTAATTAAAAGTGGGGGGGGGTGAAAAAGCATAGTGTGTACAGGGGTGCTGAGGATGCACATACGCGTGTGTGTGTGTGCGTGTGCGTGCGTGTGTGCGTGTGCATGTGTGTGTGGATTAAATCGGAAAGAACATGCTCAGGATGCTTATCAGTGAGTGGAAGGTCAGGGTAGTTTTCACTGTCATCTTGTCTTTTCTAACAATGAGCAACTACTGCCTGCAGCACAAAAATAAAACTGCACCTGGGGAAAGTTACGTTGCAGAAAAATAGTTAATAGCAGAGAAAAATGTTCATGGCTTATTTTAAAACATACAGACCATGCTTTCACAAGTGCACATGCGTGTGCATGTGGGTGTGCATGTGTATCTTGCATGCATGCTTGTGTGCGCATGTGTGCATGCGTCTGTACAGACAGAGGGGGTTGGCAGGACACACAGCAGTATCAGCTACGGTGATTTCCGGGTGTCGGGATAAATGTCATTTATCTTTTCTTCCTTTTGCCTGGGATGGAGCCTGGGATGGAGCAGAGATGTGGGCTCCTGGGAAGCCCCAAACGTCCCCAGAGCGCAGGAGCACCTTCCGCAGTAACCTCTGCTCACAAGTGCTCATTCGGAGTGTTTTCCCTGCTGGCAGATGGATTGGGAGCCACCCACACCCCTTCTTGGGGTTCACACCCTACCCCCAGCGCCTCTCCAGGAAAGCACCCCCAGCCAGGAACCCACTCACCCAAGGTCACATTAAGGGGGGGTGACTGGGTGCAGCACAGGACCCTGGTCCCTCTGCCCAAGAGGCTTCCTTGCCCCTTACAGGAACATCGCCCGGAGCCCCCAGCAAATTTCCCCATAGGGAGCCCCATTTTGACAAGAGACCAGGAAAACCAGGCCAAACCATGGCTGCGGGCGGCACTGCCTGGACCAGCAAGGAGTCAGTCTGGCTGGAGCCTTGCACAAGTTCCTTTGCCCCTTCCCCAACCTGTCCCACCTGCCCCCACCACTCTGCCCTCATTCCCACTGCCCCCTTCCATCCTCCACAAAAGCAAGCCCACCACCCATCCTCATGCCGTGATCCTGACTCATGGTCAGCTCATGCCTCCTCCATCTGGGTCCTGGTTATTTCACATCCACTGTCCCCGAACACACCTGCCACACACTGACAACACCCTGGAGCCTTGGGAGGAACAGGAGTGACACCCCTCACCCCATCCCTTCTGAGCCTGGGATGGAGAGCAGAGATGTGGGCTCCTGGGAAGCTGCCAAATGTCCCCAAAGCACAGGAGCACCTTCTAGCAAGAACCTTTGCTCCAGGTCTGACCCCCATCTGCCCAAAGATGGCCAGGCCCGTGTGGAGATGAGAAGTGTGGATGCCCCTTGGAAGCTCTGGGCTGGCCCGTGTACAGCTGAACAGCACAAACAGGGTTAAAAACACACCCAGTGGGACCACTTTATTGTGAGGTCAGGAGGAAATCATTGCCACCGCCCCTCGTGCAGCCCCAGGTGGCCCCCAGGTGCGGGTGCCGGCAGGTGAGACTCGCAGCTTTGGCATGGAGCGTGCTGCTCCTTTACAGAGATCCTTCCACCCCGAGGCTCTCTTCCTCCAGGTAGGGCCCTGGGCAAGGAACTGGCAGAGAGGAGGCCCATAAGGGGCACCCCCAAGGAGGCGCAGGTGGGCACAGGAGAACAGACCCTGATGCACCTTGCCCTCCTGGCCATACTGCCTGGAAGAGAGCTCAGCTCTGTGTGCTGGCTCCCCTGCGGCAGCCTGGTGCCGAGAGCCCTAGGGTGCGGTGCCAGGCAGTGCCTTGCGCCCTGCTCACGTGTGGGGTACTCGACTGATGGCGCTTCAAAGGTGGAGCCTTGCAACCCCCCGCCTCTGTCCTGGGGTCCCTGAGCCCAAGGAGCTGTGACCAAGGTCTGGGATGCTCCCCAGAGTGAGCCTGTTACTAAAGGCCCCATTTAGCAGAGGGAAACGGGGGTGACAGGGAACATCAGAGCTCAGAGAGGATCGGTTTCTAGGGCTCAGTCCAAGGGCAAGGCCAGTCAGCCCCTCGTCCGCACCGGGGACAAGTCCTGAGGAAGAGCCCACCCAGCCAAGTCCCAGCCTGGCCCACCTGGCGAGGGGTTGCCTCAGGTCACTCCCGGGGAAGGGAGGGTCACTCCCGGGGAAGGGAGGGTGGGGAGAGGGGGTGTTCCCAGAGCAGACATCTGCTGGCCTCCACACTCCCAGAGACGCCTGAGGGGGCAGGCTAGGGGGAGCCTTCCTGTAGCAGCCCCAAGGCCAAGTGCTGGTGGCCCAGGGAAGCCCGTGTCCACCAGGGGGCCCAGGTGTCCAGTGGATCCGCCAGACGGGCCCACGACAGGAGCCATGGGGACATGGGGCATGGTGTCCACTGTAGGTGGGGAAAGGCCAGGTTGGCTCAGTGCCTCCCTGTCCCCACACAAGCCCAACTGGGGACTCTAGAAAGTGGGTTGGATTGCACAGGTTTCGGGGAAGATGGGGACCCTCACTCGGCCACCCACGGGTTGGTGCCTGTGCCCTTAGAAGCAGCAGGCCCACAAGCAGCCCGGCCAGCACCAGGACTTACCGATGGCTGCCAGGGTGCCGCAGTCCCTGCCGTGGAAGTCGGCCCAGGCTTTGGTCTTACAGCTCTTGCTGCAGGTCAGGATCCCGTAGCAGCGGCTGCAGGGCAGCAGGCGCACCCCGATGGAGCGGCCACACTGGTAGCAGAACTTGAAGAAGGGAGTCCTGCCAGGGGGCCACGCAGCCGTCGGCCGGTGCCTGCCCCCTATGCCACCGACCCAGCTCCGGACCTTCCCCATTTCCTCTGCACGCGGACAGAGACCTGAAGTCCTGTCCAGGGTTGTCCAGCACAAGCCGTTCAGAACAGAAAACAAGCACCGTGCCCAGATGCCACCTGAGGGCTCAGACAGGGCCGGGCAGGAGACTGTGGGACCCTCACGTGCCACAGTGTGGGGCGGGGAGGATTTCTGTGTTTTGTGGGAGGAACAGCTCTGAGCAGGCACTCATGGGGCTGTGGGTGAGCAGGGCATACCCTCGAGCTCTGCTTCAGCAAGAAAATGAGCCCAGGTGGGCAACCACCCCTGCCTGCCATCCATCGCCCACCCATCCACCAGGGTTTACTGGGCAGATGCAGTCCAGGATGCCCACAGGGACCAATAAGGCACATAGACATATACAGACTATTCTGGGGAAGGGGCCCGTGGTGGAGGGGCTAGGAGGGGTATGGGACGCAGGGTGCACAAGGCAGCACACATCTCCCACCCAGCTGCCCCCCAGACATGGAGCGGCTCCTCAAGCGTGCCCTGTGGCCTCCTGCTGCCACCCCATCCTGGCCCATGCTCCTGGCGAGTGGGGCCACACGGCCACTTACTGCTCCAGCTCCTCCAATTGCGGGTCCTTGGGCGTGCTGGGGTCCCTTTGCTTCAGCTTGTGGCAGGGGATCATCTGCGCTGTACCCAGAGAGACCTGCATTAGTCTCCCTGGGCCCTCCCCTGGGCTGTAGTATCTACAGATAGAGGGAGCCCGGGCTGCCTGCCTCAACCACCCTCCTGAAGCCCACCCGGCACCTCAGGAGGCAGGACCCCAAGCCTTGACATCCCATGATAGGTCTCAGGAGGCAGAGTGGGACTTGGCTTGGAGGTGTTGGGCCGCCCAGGGCCTCTTGCTTGCCTACCCATCTGCAGCCCTTTCTCTGTGCCATCGACAGACTCAGTGTCCCCCTCATCAAGCCATTAAAGGGCCATGGAGCAGCACCAGGTTTCTCTGGCCTCGCCCAGTCCACAGCCCCCTCTGAAGGGGGGGACCCTGCTCTGCTCTCTGGCCACTGCAGGAGGGTGCACAGTAGGCCAGCGTCTGGAGGGCAGTGAGTCCCCCATAATAACCACAATTTCCACCATGTCCCTGCACCATTCTCTCTTTAAATAGCACCTCATCCCCCCTAGAAAGGCCGCCTAACCTCTGCTTCCTCACCACCCTTCAGACACAGGAACCCCGCAAGGAAACACCTCCTGGCCATAAGAGCAGGAAGGTGGGAGCCCTCCTTCCTCCCCCACCCTTCCTGAGCCCACCAGCACTCAGGCCGGGTGGGGATGAAGACATGGGTCCAGGAAGCCGGCTCTGACAGTGCACCCATTGCCAGGGCAATGTTAGGAAGGCCACGTGGCACCAAGGACGCTTCTGGTACAGGTGACAATAAAAAAAACATACAAGGGGCCTGGTGCCAGAGCTTCACAGATTGCTTCTTTATGAGGAAACATGAAAATGGGAGGAGGGCATTCTTGAGCATCAGTTGAGATATAACTCACATGCCACCCAAGTCACCTATAAGGTACACAGTTCAGTGGCTTTTAGCGCATTCGCAGGTGTGCAGCCATCACCACAAAATCCATTCTAGAACATCGTCATCACTCCCCAAAGGACCCAGCCCCTGAACTCCGCCATGCCCCTGACACCCCAGCCCCAGCCCCTGGTGACCCCTATCTACTTGGTCTGTGGCTTTGTCTGTGCCGGACATTTCATACAACACATGGTCCCCTGTGACTGGCTTCTCTCACTGAGCATCATGTTTTCAAGGTTCATCCGCATGGTGGTGTCAGGGCTTCACTCTTTTTTGTGGGTGAATAACATTCCATATGTGTATCTGCCACGACTTGTTTATTCATTCATCCATTGATGGATATGTGGGTTGTTCCCATCTGGCTTTTGTGAACCGTGCTGCCATGAACATTCGTGTACAGGTGCTGGGGGACACGTTTTTATTTCTTCTGGGCACAGAGCTGGGAGTGGATTTGCTGGGTGACGTGGTGACTCTGTGGTTAGCATCTGAGGACTCTCCAGCCCCTCTTCCGTTCCCATTCCCACCGGCAGGGCAGGAAGCTCCCCTTTCTCCTCCTCCTCACCTCGTTACATTTAATCACAGCATCATACTGAAGTGACACCTCGTGTGGTGCATTGTGTTCATCCCTGATGGCCAATGATGAGCATCTTCTCATGGGCTTGTTGGCCATTTAGATCTTTCTTTAGAGAAATCTGTGTAGATGCCGATATAACTAAGACTGACTCCATCTCTGTGCCTGATTTCTTTTCCGTTCAAGTTTCCGTGCTGTGAACTCTGACCTAACTGTGCTCAACAGCATACCAAGGCCTTCCAGTCAAGGACGAGCTGGCTCTGTAGGCTGACATAGTGCAGCCAGAGAGATTTTTGTCAGTGACGACCAGAACAGCACAGCCCGAGACAAATGTCAAACTAGGTGCTGGCATCAAATCAAAGCAACTATGCATACATGACCAGGAGGAGTACGGCTCCTGGCTCCAACAGCAACTCTGTCCCTTTGTCTGGTCAGCTGTTAGTACCTTAACCATCCTACAAAACTTTTACTGCGACAACTGTCCAGCAGTGGAGACTAGCTGTGCAGCCTGAGGAGTTGCCTCTGCTCAATCCCATCTCTGAAAGCGATTCAGCCCTACAACAAGCTGTCACATTCCATGGAACGGCTGGCCTCCTTTTCCAGTCTCGAGGGGGTCATGTACCTTCACTCCACCATCAGACAAATTTCTATTCGTGTTTATTTGTCCAGTTTTTAATTCAATTACTGTATTATTGAGTTGTGACAGTTTGTTCTACATACAAGTTCCTTATGAGATGTATGATTGACAAATATGTTCTCCCATAGGTTGTCTTTTCACATATGCTTTTCAGAGAGAGTGGGATGGAGGGAGGGAAAGGAAAAGAGAGAGAGAAACATCGATATGAGAGAGACACATCGATTGGTTACCTTTTGCTCGAGCCAGACCATGACGCAGGGAGCAAACTTGCAACCCAGGTACATGCCCTTGACAGGCATCGAATCCACGACCCTTGGGTGCATGGGCTGATGCTCTGACCACTGAGCCAAGGCCAAATTGAACTCATTTTTATAGGTTATCTGAGGGTCAAATGCCATTCTCTTGTGTTTGGATAACCAGTGGTCCCAGCACCGTTTGTTGAAAAGACTGTGGTCCTCACCCCTATTAAAGCCCTGGCGGCAGCAGGACAGGTCTCTCTCATGTCCCTTCCTGGCCCAGCCCCTCCCATCCCACAATTGCCAGGATAAACACGGCCTCGGCTGCACCCACAGCCACCCACCTTTCTTGCTCAAGCACAGCACCTTTGGGTCCCACAGGCTCTCCTTGGCCATGATGGCGGAGCGCAGCTGGAAGCCCATGTATTCCAGGAGCCGCTTCCGCGCCACAAACGTCTCCCGCTCTGCCGGCATCAGCGTGTGGAAGGGGCAGTGGGCAATCTTCCGGTCCTGCGGCACAGTGCCAGTCACCGCGGGGCACCAGCTCCCACCCCGGGGAGGGTGGGTCCCACTCCCAGCTCTGGCCTGGGGAGGGAGACTGAGTGGGGAGCACACATCCTCTGTCGGTGCTCATTGTGAGGACAAACCAGGAGAGCACTCCAAAAGCTAGGCACAGGCAGCCACGCCTGCGCATGCCCGGGTGCCAGGTCTTCTCTTCCAGAAGGCCAGGGACTCGCTTTGGAAGGAGGCATGAGGGACCTTTGGCCCAGCTATGCCCAAGAGATGCTAAAGGCCCCAGCTGCGCCCCTATCACCGACAGGAAACTCAAAGCCATACCTGGAAGAATTTGAAATACCCGTAGTCGACGGCTGTGCCCACAGCCACCTTGTCCCCTTGCGTGAGTGTCACAGGGGCCAGGATGTCGGCCCCATAATTGATGAGCAGGTCAATCTGTGGAGAAGAGAGCTGCATCAAATGCGTGTGAACACCCCAGCTGCCAGGATTGTGTGTAGGTGTGGAGGAGGTAGGTGTGTGCATGTGTGTGTGGATGCGTAGGTGTGTGCGTGTGTAGGTGTGTGAGTGTGAATGTGTATGTATGTGCGTGTGTGTACATGCATGTAGGCGTGTACACGTTTGTGGGTTTGGGTGTGCACAGGTGTGGGGGTGTGTGTGCCTGTGTGACTTCTCGCACACAGTGCAACAAGGTCTCTAGCTCAAGATTTATCACCAATTTCAACAGGGCTCCCACCCCTATCCTGACCAGGGAGCAGGCGCCTTCAATAAGAGGCTTTATGGCTTTATAGTTTTAGCCAGGAAATTTAACCAAACAAGCAGGCTCAGGGCATCCCAGCATAAATAGGTGAAAAATAGCCCATCACCTGCAGGGCACTCATTGGACTGTGTAGGGTCTACCTGCTGACCATTGCAGGCAGGGCCGGTGTTAGGGGGTGCATGGTGGCTCCCTCAGCCAGGGTCCTCACTCTCTCAGCCTGTTTAACATTCATTCTTCACAAACTTGGAAACCCTGGTGACACTGTGTGTGAAGCTTCACGGCACAGAACCAGGCATCTGGGGGCAAATGCCACCGAACACCAGCAGCCAGCGTGGCCTGACCAGGCCCAACTCATGGGTCTCGGGGGCATGAGTGCAATTTATACACGGATTCCTTATGGCGATGGTGATGTCATGCCAGGCCTATGGTGAGCGGAGTGGGAGCCAGTTTTCCAAAGCTGTGGGAAGAAGCTTCCCTGATCCAACCCCAGGCTCCTCTCCTCTCCTGTCCACCCCCTCCCCTCTATTCCCCTCCCCTCCCTCATGCAAAGCATGACAACCTTCATACAAGCCTGATGCACCACTGAGGCTCCAGAGGGCTCAGCATGTTGCACGGAATCACATCCCATAAAGGAACGATGGAGAAAAAGCATTGAATTCTACCGAAAACTGCTTCTTTAAATGCTAGCTAAATCTATCAAGCTCTTAGAAGAAAACATAGGACAAACGCATCGCCAAAATGGACTGGGCAATGATTTCTTGGATATGAAACAAAGGCACAGGCAACAAAAGGAAAGGTAGACAAACCGGCCCTCATGAAAATTAAAAACTTCTGTGCATAAAAGACACTACTGCATTGCAAAAAGGTGGCCCATGCTTATGATAAAATATTTTAAATCACATATCTGAGACGTGATAATGTCCAAAATATAGAGCGAACTCTTAAAACTTAACAAAAAACAATTTCTAAAATGGGCAAAGAACTTGAATAGACATTTCTTCAGAGGAGGTATATGAATAGTCAACAAACCCATGAAAAGATGCTCAACGTCACGAATAAAATTAAAATAAGACCAATAAGATACCGCCTCACACCCATCAGGATGGTTACTATACAGTAAACTCAGAAAAGAACAAGTGTTACCGAGGATGTGGAGAAATGGGAGCCCTGTGCACTGTGGGTGGGAATGTTAACTGGTGCAGCTACTGTCGAGGAAAGTATGGTGGTTCCTCAAAAAATTAAACATAGAATGACCACATGACCCTGCAACCCCACTTCTGGGTAGATACCCAAATTGAAAGCAGAGTCCAGAAGAGATATTTGTACACCCATGTTCACAGTGTCATTATTTAAAATAGCCAAACGTGGAAGCAACCTAGGTGTACATCAATGGACCAATAAATACACAATGTGCTTTATACACACAAGGGAATATTATTCAGCCTCAACGTAAAAACATATCTGACACCTGCTACAACATGGAGGGATCCTGAGGACATGATGCTGCGTGCAATAAGGCAGACACAGAAGAACACACACTGTGTGACTCCCCTTACATCCCTGGAGGAGTCAGGTTCACAGAGACAGAGAGTAGGAGGCGGGGAACAGGGGTGGGGGAAGGGGGAATGAGTGTTTAATGGGGACAGAGGGTCAGTTTTGCAAAATGAAAACAGTTATGGGGAGGGATGGTAGTGACGGCTGCACAGTAAAGTGAATGTACTTAATGCCACTGAACTTAAACATTGTTAAGATGGTACATTTTTTGTGTCTTTTGCCAAAATTTTTTAAAAATGTGTTCACTATAACCTCATTTTGGCAAAAACAAAGAACAAAAAAAAAACTGTCATAAAGATCCTGAGAAACAGTCCTGGCAGCTGCAGGTTGGAGGACCGTCCCTTACGTGGAAAAGGAGCAAAGCAGGGTGATCAGGAGTGGACAGACGCCCCGCAGAACCAGGCGGGGTGCCACTGCTCACACCCAGCCTGCCGAGGCCACGAGCAAGATAAAGGAGACAGGCTACACACATTGGAAGAGGAGAGAAAAATGCCATGACTTGCCAGCAATGTACTTATCTACCTACAAAGTAAGGAGGAATGTCTGGAAAACTCTTAAACCAACAGGAATTGAGGTGGGTGGCCGACAGCTGCAAGTCTATTGACCAGATCCCTGATTGTAACCTTGGGAGATGTAAGAAAAAGAATGCATGTGCATACTAAAGAGACAACAAAAACTAGTTTAATTCTGCAGTGTTAATATTTTATACTTATTTATTTATCATTTATCTTTATTGTTGAAAGTATTGCAAATGTCCCCTTCCCACCCTCCCCCCCCCACCCGCATTGAAGCCCTCCACCCTGCCCCTGCCCCCCAAGGCCTACTGCATGATTTCCTGTGTCCGTGGGCTATGCATATGCATATAAGTTTCTTGGTTAATCTTCCCCCTCCCCCCCGCCCTTCCCTCTGATATTCCTCAGTCTGTTCCATTCTTTCATGTCTCTGGATCTATTTTTTTCATCAGTTTATTTTGTTCATTAGATTCCACATATGAGTGAGATCATGTGATACTTGTCTTTCTCTGACTGGCTTATTTCACTTTGCATAATGCTCTCCAGATCCCTCTATGCTGTCTCAAAGGATAAGAGACCCTTCTTCTTTTTTTTTTTTTACAGCTGCAGAGTATTCCAAGGTATAAATGTACTACAGCTTTCTTATTCATTTATCTGATGGGCACTTGGGCTGTTTCCAGATCTTAGCTATTATAGTGTTGCTATGCACATAGGGGTGTATATTTTTTTTTCTGATTGTTGTTTTGGGATTTTTAGGATATATTCCTAGAAGTGGGATCACTGGGTCAAATGGCAGTTCCATATTTAATTTTTTGAGGAAACTCCATAGTGGCGGCACCAGTCTGCATTCCCACCAGCAGTGTACTAGGGTTCCCTTTTCTTCACATCCTCACCAGCACTTGTCATTGGTTGATTTGTTAATGATAGCCCTTCTGGCAGGTGTGAGGTGATATCTCATTGTCATTTTAATTTGCATCTCTCTAATGTTAGTGACTGAGCATTTATTCATGGGTTTCTTGGCCATCTATAGGTCCTCTTTGGAGAAGTGTCTATTTAGATCCTTTGCCCATTTTTTTTACTTGGATTGTTTGTCTTCCTTTTGTTAAGTTATATGAGTCCCTTATATATATTTGGAAATTAACCCTTTATCAGATGTATCACTGAAAAATATGTTCTCAGGCAGTGGGCTCTCTTTTCGTTTTGGTGATGATTTCTTTTGTTGTGTAGAAGCTTTTTCTTTTGATGTAGTCCCATTTGTTTATTTTCTCCTTAGTTTCCTTTGCCCTACAGTGGTCGGCAAACTGCGGCTCGCACATGCGGCTCTTTGGCCCCTTGAGTGTGGCTCTTCCCACAAAATACCGACTTCTGTGCATGGGCCACGAAGTTTCAATCGCACTGTACATGCACGCCTGCACATAGTATTTTGTGGGAAGAGCCACACTCAAGGGGGCAAAAGAGCCGCATGGGGGTTGGGAAGGGGCCGGTTTGCCCGACCATGGCCCTAGGAGATGTATTGACAAACATATTGCTATGAGAGATGTCTGAGATTTTGTTGCCTGTGGTTTCTTCTAGGATTTCTATGGTTCCACAACTTACATTTAAGTCTTTATCCATTTTGAGTTTATTCTTCTGTATGGTGTAAGTTGGTGCTCTAGTTTAATTTTTTTTTGCATGTACCTGTCCAATTTTCCCAACACCATTTATTGAAGAGACTGTCTTTACTCCATTGTACCAGAAATCGATGGCATTTTTATATGCCCATAATGAACTCTCAGAAAGAGAAACTATAGAAACAATCCAATTTACCATTGCAAAAAAAAAAAGACACCTTGGAATAAAGTTAACCAAGGAGGTAAAAGACCTTTACTCGCAAAAACTACAGGACATTGAAAAAAGAAATAGAAGGAGATACAAACAAATGGAAAAATATAACGTGTTCATGGATAGGACAAATGAATATCATTAAAATTTCCATACTACCCAAAGCAATCTTTAGATTCAATAGGTCCCTATTAAAATACCAATGGCATATTTCACAGATCTAGAACAAATACTCCAAAAATTTATATGAAACCAAAAAAAAAAAAAAAACCTGAATAGCCAAAGCAATTTTGAGAAAGAACAAAGTAGGAGGGATCACAATTCTGGATATCAAATTATACTACCAAGGCATTGTAACCAAACTGCCTGGTACTTGCACAAGAACAGACATATAGACCGATGGAACAGAACAGAAAACCCAGAAATCAGCCCAAGCCATTATGCTCAATTAATTTTTGACAAAGGAAGCAAGATCATACAATGGAGTAAAGACAGTCTTTGCAGTGTTAATATTTTTATAAGTGGCTTATGATATACAGTTAAAAAAATGTTTTAATCATTACAAGTGCTGGAAGTATTTACAAGAATTGGATATATTATCTGAGTGGGTATATAAGTGGGTGTTCAATGTTTTGACCTCAGAGCATCTAGTTTTGTGTCTATTGGTGAGTGAGCCTCACAGCGTTAGCTTCTTGGTGGGCAGAGTGTGGAGACAGCCCAGCTCCCAATCCCTGCCTGGTATGCAGCTCCCCAATCCCTGCCTAGCAGGTCCCTTGATTAGGACCCCTGGTCAATGCCCATTTGACATAGAAAAATCTAGAATCCTGCAACCAGACCAAAACCATGGCCCGTGTCTTTCCTGAGAAAAACCAGGGGACTTTTGTCTGGCCTGTTGAGTGGCTTTGCCTCTGTATATATTTTAGATCTATACATCTTAAAAGGCAAGAATTTCTCACCCATTTTCAAGTACAGTGGGGCCTTGACTTACGAGTTTAATTCATTCCGTGACGGAGCTCGTAACTCAAATTACTCATATGTCAAATCATAAAGTGAACGAGTGAGACACGTGATGCTGGGCTGATGTGGCATTCACTGTGACGTTCGCTGCGCCAACTAGCGGTGGGGTATCTGAAGCTGGCTGATAACCGAATTTTAGCTCGCAACTCAAAGCAAAAAATCGGCTGAGAGACAGCTTGTATCTCGAAAAACTCGTTAGTCGGGACACTTGTAAGTCAAGGCCCCACTGTATTTGGAATGCTGAGGCTTGGAGAACACAGAGAAATACCACACGAAGCTCCGCCTGCTGGGAATGAGGCCAGACCAAGGGTCTCACAGCTCCCAGGCCCAGGACCGTGGGTCGCCCCTTCCCAATTGCCCCTCTCAGCCGGCCCCCCACACCCGCCGCCTCACCAGGCCCAGCCTGCTGTTCACACTCCTTCGGTGCTCGTAGGCGATGTCGCAGGCCACACACAGGGCATTGCCCAAGCCCTTGGTCAGAGGCAGGTTGGGGTCAGCGCCATTGGTCAGCAGCTCCTTCACAATCTGTACACAGACAGCCTGTCAGCGCCACCAGGTCCCTCCCTCCACTGGTGGAAGTCCCGGAGCGAGGCCACTGCAGCACTGAGTATAGTGGCGGCCAAGCTGGGGCTCACTGAGGCCCCCAACCTCGGCATTCTCCATGGCTCCGGCCCACAGGTTCCACTGCTGCCAGCTCCAAGGACCACTGGGGTGGGCACATGGTGGTTCCTTAGGGGGGCTGCCATTCTGCCCAGGCCCCTGGCCGGCACCCTGTCTGCACACTGTCCTGTCAGTCCCTCATCCCTGGGAACAGGCTGCCTCTGCCCCGGGGCACTGGGTCTTTGACCAGACACAAAGTGGGCCACATGTCCCTTGTTTCCCTCTGTGTCCCCAGCTGCCAGCCCAGGTGCCGCCCAGGAATCCAGGAGTAAGAGCAGCTAT